GATCAAAGACTCTCCAACTGAGCAGTTAGATCTGAAATATTCAAGGAAAGAGTGATCAGGAATCTTGAGGGTAAAATCAAGAAAAATAGGGAAATAATGGCAGGCGTCTCACCCATGATTCTAGCTTCAGCCCTAGCCAACCTTTCCCTCACCAGGCCGACCTTGGGGGGATCGGTCTTCAATCATGGCCAAAGCCGATTCCGCTAGGGAAAGGCAGTTGGCTAGATGCTGGTCGGTCCGATCAATAGAGGCTAACAGATCGTCATTACTGATATGTTGCCTCGGGTGATGAGGAAGCTGACGACGGATTGGTGCCAAAGATGACCCCGAGGGCTGGGTGGAGTTGGCTCTTTGATCCGAAGCAACGAGAACACCTCAAGATGCGTCCTCTCGACGATGAGGGCGTTGGCGTGATGATGTGGATCCGTTGAGGGCTCCTTCGGTAGACCTCTTGTTGCTCTCCATGACCTCAAACCTACGGAAAGGCAGAAGATGTACTGAAGACAAAGAGGGGTTGAGACGAAGAGGGTTGTTTTTTATTCGCAACTATGGCCCGTATATATAGCCCGTGAAAGCGAGAAGATAGATTCCGATGGAGGTGTGAAATTGAAAGTCGGAAACAGAAAAGGATCAACACTCCAGAAATTCAGGGGACAGATAACGAAGGGATAACAGACTCAAATTTATTACTTCCCCAAATTACAAAATATAGTAGGGTGGGTGCATTGACCAGAGACTAATCCACCAGAACTTCTTTGGATTGAAGGGAGTCTAGATTTCTGCAAGGCCAAAACTCATTGTGAACCAGGTCGCATCGGCCCATCAATAAATTATACCAGAGAAGAAGAAAGTTCGCCCGCCTAACATAAGCTCAACATATTTCTCAATAAATTGAGGAACTATGGGAAAGAAGCCTGAGGCTTTCCCGATGGGCGTTTGGAGGAGCAACAAGGGGAAGGTGAACACACCTTCTGACCCTCATAAACACTAGAATAGCCTTGTGGACATGGGAAGAAGACTCAGGTGATATCACAAGAATTCTTCTAACCATAATGGCTGATCTTCTTGCCCAACGAGGCACTAGAATAAGTGATGCAATCATCCTATGCACAAGAATTCTTCTAGCCGCTTGAGATCTTCATAAGGCAGACCATGGAGGGTCCGACGGAAACAGGAGCACTCGAGGGAGCAGATGGGAGAAAAACATGGCTGGATTATGAGTTGCTCCCACCAGGGTCAGGTAGGCATTTTATAGCCAGCCCAGGAAGATGAATCCAAGCGCCCGTGACGAAATGACATCCTTTGCAAAAAAGTTTTGAGGCATCATCTCATGAGTTGACGCATGCGGCGACGGACAGTGGACCCCAGATCAAGGTTCTCTACCCATGGCTATGGACCAATCAGGGATATAGACATGATAATTTTGGAATAAAATTACTTTTATCCCAAAATTAGGGGGCATGTGTTTACACCAAAATTTAAAAGAAGAGTTGCAGTGACTCAAAAGCTCCCAAGATCATGTCATCAAGGGATCAGTTATGGGCAGATCAGAAACAACTGATTCAGATGCAAAAACTAGAATCGACTTTCTTCAGATAACGCCAGTGGATAATGACAATGGCTACGCTCGACGCCAGGATGAAACATGTTGGACTCTACAAAAAGGGAAAGATTAGAGTCCAAGTTATCTTAAAATTAGGAATGTTTTCTTTAGGGTCAAGATTATGATGAGCCGTGCTTAGATAGGAGTCATGCATAAGTCCCGGGTATAAATATCAAGCCCCAGCTATTGTAAAGACAACCAATCAATCAAATACAAGTCAATTACTTTTTCAGCTCCGGCCACCCCTTAGGAGTAGGAGTAGAGTAGATCTCGACAAGTTCTTCGGCAAGTACGGCTGCATCAATCCGGTCGACCTCCACTGTTTGTTGTAAGTACCGTCATGGTTTATACCTCTGTTCGTATGGATGCATCGATCCGGTCGACCCCCACTATGGCTTTGGTATATGCTAGTTATCGACTCTTGTCTAATTCAATTATAGCCTGTGTCATTCTGCCTCACACCCCACTGCTTGAATTAGATCAAGGTCAAGTTATCGGCTCTACCTTAGAGCGGCAGTCTTTGGTAGATTCATTAAGTTACCGATATTGCTTATCGCTTTTATTGTTTATCTAATTACAGCAATATCACTCTGCCCGATTCGGATTGATCTAAATCGGCCTTATATCTTGTTTAGCCCATCGTTTGCTAACCTCAAATTGATTTAATCTGTACCTTAAACGATGAGTTATGTTTTATCGGCTGTTTTATATCAATCCTGATCATGCATAGCATGCGGTTAAGGCGTGTTGCATCTTGAGTAGGTTTATTGGCTAGCGAGAATCGTTCCATATCGGCTTTCATATCGGCTTTTATAGCCGTACATTCAGGACTGTCTGGCAACACCGGCAAGTTTCACCCTTAATTATTGATGAACTTTCTCTCCTTGTCAATTACAGGGTCAAATTGACTGGCACGCCTCGGGAGGAGCACGTAGGATCGACCATTCCTGCGCTGAAGCTATGTGGATCTGCTCTATCGGACGGACCCTTCCGGCTTGCTGCGTGTGTCCTCGACACGGGACGAAAATTCTGTGTCGACAATGGTCGAACAAGAAAGAGAGAAAACAAAGGCATCAAAAAAGAACTCCAAGAAGGCAGAAACTTCAAGTAAGAATACAAAAATAATAGCAAAATATATAAATATAATACTACTATAGATATTATATACTAACAAGAATAATAACAATGCAGGTCCAAATGGAAAGAGCAAGAAGAAAATGAGAAGAAGTACAAGCAATGCATTGTCTGAAAGAGATGGACCACAACACAACAGCAAGGCAGAAGACAAAATCAAACAACACCAATAATGGGGACATAGAACCATATTATCTACTAGATTGTAGCAATTACAGACCATAGGTCATCATATCAAGCATTTCAGTTTTAAATTCTACACCTATTACAGAAACCTCCATATGGATAATGTAATGTCTGAACATTTGTACATCCACTTAAGATGCTGTGATGATATGAGCATTAGCGCAAAAGCACAAGACCACAATGATTACATGTCTTGATTATCCTATCAAATTTATAATAGAGTCACAGAATTAGGAACTATTACAATGAAATAAATAAAACAAACAAACTAAAAAAGTTACTTATAAAACCTTACCTCAAACTGATAACTGGTGACAAGATCCTTACGACCTGTGTTCTTTGCAGAAAACACAAGATCATTAGCAAACTTAATCCTCAAATTTGGAATGTCAGATTCCTTGAATAGAGTGAATAGAGAAGTTCGAGGCGATTTCCAATGCTTAAGAAATATCATGGAATAAACACCAGAATCAGAACTACAAACAAAGAAAATACTTACATTTTCAACAGACAAAAAATCTAGAATTAAAAACAAAAAAAGATCATATAATTGTTCAACTAATTGTGACTATTATTATTCATGAACAATCAATTTACACCGATCAAACACAGAACCACACCCAAACAGGAATAGTAATAATTTATGGTACAATAATATGTAATCTGCAATTAGTAATCAAGCAAAGCTTCTATCAAGATAACCTGGCACCATGAAGGCATGGGTAAGACCGCTGCTGTTTTGAGAGAGAAGAGCATACTAGTATGCATATGGGCATAGAAGAACAATACAGAGGCAACATAGCAAGCCAGGCAGGGGCATGTCATGGTCTCAATTTCGATGCATGAATGAAGAGGTCAACATTCAATCCTTCACCTGGCCTTTGGGCTTTCAAGTTTGACCAATAGGTGGGCAACTAGCTGTAAAAAAGCCTGAACATAGCTCCCTAAACACAACAACATAGCCTACAATATCAGAGACGGATGGTCTGGGACATGGAGCAGCACTGAATTCACTAGCACATAGTAAACTGAGCAGCAAACAGATGTCAAATCGGATGCACACAAAAAATCGAGTGACCAAAACCTGTAAAACACCTGACAACTATCTAGATTTACCGAAAATCTAAGAGATAACAATACAGTTAAGAAAAAAAATATAAAAACAAACATATAAAAAAAACTAAAATGACACAATGAACAGGAACATAACTTACAGATTATTAGCAGCCTGCTTGGGAACAAATGGATAAGACACCTTGTAACCATGGAAACCCATATCAATCAAACCAAATTTCTTCCACCAAAACTTGAAATTTGGAATCTACAAGCAGTTCAAAATAAATAAAAATATATTTAAAAGGAAATAACATATAAAATAAAAGAAAATAATTGAAAATAGAAGCAAAAGCCCTACCAATTTGTTACCAATTTTAGCCTAGTATTCATCTTATAAGCCATAGTATGAATCCAAGAAAACAAATGTGTGGTCGTTTATGTCAACCGCAAAGGCAAACCAGTGCTCATCATAGAGACCAGGGAAGAACAACTAACAGAAAAAATAAAAGTTAGATAAAAATATAGATATAAAAATTATGAACAAAAAATTGAAGAATGAAATAGTCAATACCAAATTAGAACTATAAAGAGGCCTTGACTTGGAAGTTTTGGTAAAAGCTCTATTCAAGATATCTTCACTTGCAATATCTGTATCCTTTAGAAGTTGATCCTACATATATAAAAGGGTAAGAAACAAATTAAACATAAATAAAAATAAATAGAAAGAAAAAAAGGAGATACTAGAAAAGAAGTGGTGGCATTTAGAAACATCAGGATGACCAAATGGGTGAGAGTACAAATGATAGCAAAATGCAGCAATAACAAAGTTCATAACAAAACCACCAGGCTTAAGAGATTTGCCAAGAGCCCAAAAAGTGCATCGAACTCTTCCAAATAAGATAGCATCATCACTGTAATAAAAGTATAAACAAAATAAAGTATAAAGAGATAAAAAACACCAGAAATGAAATATAAGAATACAAAAACAAAACAAAAAAATAAAAACATGCCCACTATACTATCACATGGCCAAATTACATATAGCCTTGTAATTCATAATCTGAGACTTGCTAACTTTGAATTTTTCCCTTTCCTTCTCAAATTCATCACCCATATACTGACTTGGCTTAACACTCCTCCTAGGGCCATGAAGAGGAACCTTACCACCAGTAGAAGATTTCGAAATTTTGAAATCAGATTTACTTGAAGATTGAGCAAATTGATTGGGAATCAAAGATGAATGACCACCAATCTTCAAATCAGATTCAGGAGGAGTATGCACACTAGAACTTGAATTATGTAATTTCGAATTATACAAAAATTTGATTTCTTTCCCATTGACCTGAGCTTCTGAGATAGAGATCTTGAACCAACAATAGTAACTTCAGGAGAGGACACCTACCAAAAAAGAAAGAGGAAAAAGCAAATACAAATAATATCATCAGAACAAAAAAATAAGTAAAAGAAACCAATAAGTAAATAATTACATTAACAGGAGCAGCAACAGAAGAACCAGTCTTAGATGAAGATTTCAACTGAGAAATGGGAGGCAACTTCTTTGGCAGCTTAGGAGTTATATTAGGAGACTCGTCATCAGAAAAAGGAAGAGTCTGCATAACAATTGAAGCCTAGAAATACAAAAAATAAACAAATACAACAAAAAATATAATAAGATTAAATGCAAAAAATGTAAACAACAACAAAAGAAAACAATACAGAAATTAACTTACTACACTAAAATGATCTGGAGAATTCAATCCACCAGTTAAAACATCAGAATCATGATCTTTAGCAACAGGAATTACATCATCAACAACATGTGCAGGCACAAACTGAGAAGAAGATTTCCCAACAAGATGACCTCGATGAACACTTTTATGAAAAAGATCATATGGCTGAGAAAGATCATTTGAAGGAACAGCTAAACCAAATGTAACTTGCTTCTTGGAAGATGAAGGAACACCTAATAAATTTTTTAAAAATAATAAATTAAAAACAAAAAATATTACTAATGAAACACAAATACATAGGAAAAAATATAAATAACTCACACTTGGAAGATGAACCCGGAACAACACCCATGACACCCTAACATCCAAATTGAGTACCAACTGGAGGAGCAACTAATATGAACACATGAAATAAAACAACAAATTCAAACACATCATTACTCAAACAAAACAATAGGCAATGGATGGGCACAAAAGATAACTCACCGAGATCCTTAGCCAAAGAAGAAGCTCTTTCAACTTTCTCAACATTAACCTACAGTTCACATGAATAAAAATTACAAATAACAAAACAGTGTATAAATAAAAAAAGCATAAAAACAAACTGAAGTAATACCTGAGAATCATGAGGTTGATGAAAACCATTTTCATTTCCTGATGCAGCAGCCATCTTAGGAGAAGCAATATGAGGATCAGAAGAACTTTCATAATCAGTAACCTCCTTCAAAACCTTAATAACTAATTCCTGTGACTTTTGCTTAAATGAATATACTTGAGTCATCAATTTAGAGAAAATGGTCTTCAAATCATCAGGAAGAGCACCAAGAGAGACCAAATCAATAGGAATACAAGGAAGACAACCCTTGCAATGTTATTCAATGACATTCAACAAACTAGCCTTCAAACTATCAGGCACATCACAACCACAGGCTGCTTCAAGCTTAGATAAGAACTCAGCAACATCAGAAGCCTCAGAAACTAATTCTTGCTAAGAAGTCAAAGCCTATCAAATAAGAAAAAATATTAAAACATAAAAACATATAAACAAAAACAATATGACCAAACAAAAAATACCTTGTGATAGCATGTCTTCTCAAAATCAAGAAGAGGCCTCATACCATAACCAAACGGAGATTTTATATCAAGATCAGAAAAATCTCTGATCATATTTTGCTTCCAAACTCCAATTCGAGGAAAGGTATCAGATACACGACGATTAGAGAAGTCAACATGATCCAAATACATAGGCTTTCAAAAAAACAAAAAAGTAAAAAATTAGAATAAACTAAAGAATTCAAACACAATGATACAAAACTGAGAATTCAAAAAAATAAAAACAATGCACATAGACTAGAGATAACTTACAACAAGATAGAACATACATCCACCAAGAGTACCAAAACTTTTCTGACCATCTTTCTTTCCTTTTGTTGAAACTCTTAACACCATCAAGCAACCAACGCAAAACAAACCCTGACCAGTCAAAAGAACTGATATGCTCAAGGTCTTCAAACACGCGAAGGTAGCGAGGGCTCGAAACCAAATTAGAGTTTGGACAAAGGAAACAATGCAGAGCCACAACCAAAAACCAGATCAGCACTACTTCATCAGTAAGATGATCGGCTGCCAACTTTTCAGCAAAGAAAGAAACTTGCGGCAAAGAAGTCTTATCAATCTTAGATAGAACAATAGCTCTGCTAGTAGCATAATTGGAAGGAAAATGAGTACCACTAACAGGAATACCAAGAACAAGATTCACAGATTTGGCAGTCAACGATATAACCTTCCCATGAACAATAAGATCTCCAAACTTGGACTCAACAAGAGACGCCATCCACTTAGAAAACTTCTTAGGCACAAAACACTTGTCAAAAAGCAGTAGAGAGCCAAATCCATATCTCCTGATAACATCCTTCTTAGCTTCAGACAATAAACTAATGACAGTAGCAAATTTACTGACAGAGTGCCTAGTAAACCCATCAGAGGAAGCATTTGAAGATTTATGCTTCTTGGACTATATTAACAAAGAAAAGAAAAATAAAATAAAATATACAGTACTAAAAATAGAAAAGAAGAAAAATAAATAAATACCTAAGCTAGCAAAGCCACAGACAATTTACGCTTTAAGGCCCTGATTCTTTCATACTGAAATAAGGACAAAAAATATAAAGTAAAAATAAAGATTTATATGAAGTGAATTTAAACTCAAAAAATATAAAAACACTAATAGCTAATTAAATCTAAAAGGCCAATTCAAAGAAAATCTTCAAAAGAGATAGCAACTCTCACTGCACTAAAACAAAACACAGATTGCACTACCACAAACTGATAGCTTCATTGAAAAAATATAAGGAAAGAAAAGAAATAAAAACATCTTCACTAATCAATGACATATTAAGTGTAACAGATTAAACAGTAATATAAGAAAAGCATAGAGAATGACAAAAGCAAAAGGCACTAAAATTCTAAAGGTGGTCAAATATTTGATTTCCCGAGATAATCTCTATGCCCGTGGTGGTAGATTATCGGTAGGATGCATGTGATCAGGAACCAGATGATGACACAAGGCGCAGAGACAGCGATTTAGACAGGTTCGGGCCGTCTGATCGACGTAATACCCTACGTCCTGTGTCTTTGGTGTATTGTATTGAGATGTATGCTGTCTGATCTCTATGGATCTAGATGGATCTGTCCTCTAGGGGACCCTTGTCTCTCCTTATATACTCCGAAGAGACAAGGTTACAAGTAAAGTATCCAATTTGGTACTATTATAATATCTAGTACAACTTATAATCTTGATATGCACGTCTTGATCTTACGGGCCGGGCCACCTCGGATGGTGCGGCCCATGTAACATCTTGTGGTACCTGGGGGTATATCCCCCACACTAATCAATAACAAGAAAAATAATGACCATCCACAAACAGGGAGTGGCACAGCATTGACAGATCAAGACTGACAATAGGAAACTCTGATTCCAGACTATAGCGGCATAAGATTGGCAACAATCAATAAAAAAAGGTCAGCATAAATGCAGAATATGATCTAAAATGGAGGGAGTGAAGCTTTGTATCACAGTCATATGGATCTCAAGATCAGATGCAGCCACCAGCACAACACAGATCTTGCAGAAATAAAAATGAGGAATAATACACACCTACAAAACCAAGAAACTAGTCACATACAAGTTTCACTATTGGAATTAAAAAAATAAGAGAAACTGAATAGAGAAAGAAACATTCATGATGAACAGATGGTACACGAAAACATACATCTTGCAAACACTACTCATACAAAGTTTTATTGAACCTCTGAACAGCTGAATCGTCAGATGAAGAAACCTAAAAATGACCAAAAACAAGTATTATAACTAAAATATGTAAAACAATAAAATAAAACTGAACAAATTAAAAAAAAAACTTACCTCAGATAACATCTCAACATCAGAACTTGATTTATCACCAAAAAATCATCATTAACATATTGAGAATACATCACATTATCACTCTGACTATCTTCTAAATCAACAAAATCAGTTTCAGAAGAAAAACCAGCAACTCGACGCTTTTTTCGACCTCTGGTATCCATCTACAAACAAAAAATAATCAAGCATAACAAAGGATCAAAATAAGAAGTAAAACTAACACAAAAGGATAGTCAATGCAAAAATACTACAAGCTAATACGTAAAGGACAACTATTAACAGAGATTAGTAATGAATTTAAACATGATTGCTTGACAAGTGACTCACAAAAGGCGAAATAAAACAAAAAACAAACCACAACTCTGAATAAGATGTAATCAACTAAACCTGAACTTAAAATGGAAACAAATTCTATAAACATGAACCTGAAATAAACATAAAAGCTAAAGACAATAAATGAAAAAAATGAAATCAAAGCTGATATAACAAAAGAAATTTCGTAAACTGAAACTCTGAATATTAACTAAACTAACAGCTAAAAACACTGAACCCTGATAAAAAATTGAACTAGAACTCAACTAAACTTAACCTGAACATTAATTGAACTAAAACTAAAAATATATTAGACTAAAAAATATTCTATTATTCTAAACTTAAACTAAAAATAGGATGTACTCAAGTTAAACTAGACTTAAAATTGAAATAAATTCTAACAAATAATTGAATTTAATTTTTCTCGAATTTATCCTGGTCATATCATTGAAAATTTTGTAACATTCTACTTTAAGCTGAATTTATCCTAGTCATATCCTAAGATTAAGAAATCTAAAACTTAAACTGAACTAGAAAGAAAAACTAAACTGAACTAAGAGAATGATTCTAAAACTTAACTGAGACTAAAAATGAAATGACACAATAAAAGTAAACCTAAAATCAAAACTCAAATATGACCGAATGATGACTAACAGTGAAACAAAACTAAAATGAAATGGAACTGAAACTAAAATGAACAGACACCTGAAGTAAGAGGATCATTTTAAATCTAAACAACTAATACATGAATCTAACCTGAAGTAAGACAAAGGGATAGTCATTGCAAATATATTATAAAAAATTACATGAGGGAGAACTATTCATACAGATCAGAAACGATTTTAAACATGAATGCTTGACAGGTCACACACAAATGAAGAAATAAAAGAAAAAAATCATACTAAAACTCTGAATAAGATGTAATCAACTTAACCTAAACTTAAAATGGAGATAAATTCTAATAAACAGAAACTAAACTAAACATATAAGCTAACCACAATAAATGAAAAAATTTGAAAATGAAAGAAAACCTAATATAACAATATACATTTACAAAACTAAAACTCTGAATAATAACTACACTAACGGCTAAAACACCGAAGCATGATACAATTTGAACTTAAACTGAATAAACTTAACCTCAACTTCAATTAAACTATAACTAAAAATAGATTCTACTAAACAAAACTGAATGTTAACTTCAACGAAAAAAAGATTCTATTAAACTAAACTATAATTGAAAATAGGTTGAACTCAACTTAACCAACACTTAAAATCAAAATAAATTATACAAAACTGACAATGATGTAAACCTCATACTGAAACTACTACTTAAATTGAACCTAGAGCATCAAACACATGATATAGATCAAGCAAACCATAACAACACATTCATCACAAAAAATGCATCACTTACAAGGACAAACAGAGGTGCACAACAAAAAAAACATAGAAAAGGATAGAGAAACTTATACCTTATACCAGACACCGATCCAATCTCTAGATCAACACGGTGACTAAAAACCAAGACAACGCAGCTCCAAAACGACCAAGAAAACAACAAACATATACATAAATTTGATCAGAATGAAACATACACAAATACTGTAACAACCCAAAAATCCATACACCAAAAATACCAACTACAAAAAAAATTTCTCAAAAACTCCCATGTGATGATGAGTATCATGTATAGAAACCCAACCTAAGAGATGCATTAGGCCTAACCCCAACCTAAGTCAACACATAAGCATGACATGTCATTTGTTAGTTATGTTTATTTAATTTCCAACAAACAAAGTGTTGCATACATTGTTAACTAAAATGGTGATTTGGATTTTTATCTGTTTTATGTAATGCCTAAAACTCCAATAAATATGGTGCACCAATTTGGAATTCAAATTTCAAAACCAAATTTGAATTCAAACAAAGGAGAAGAAAAGAAAAACAGCAAAAGAACAAAAGGGAGGAAGCCTCGCTGTGGCCCAGGCCTGCTCGGCTTCACGGCCCAGCCAGCCCAACCGGCCTGCCAACCCCTTCCCAGCGCACACGTGCGGCCGCAAGCCGGCCGACCCACGAGCTCGTGTAGGCCCAACAGCCAGCCCGCATGCCGCTCACGCCCACGCACCTCCCCGCCTTCGCTTACAGCCGCTGCCACATGGGCCCCGCATGTTAGCCCTCCTGTTCATCTTCTCCACGCCATGCCCCGACCGCTCATGCTGATTCCCTTCTCCGACCGAGCCCCGACAGCACTGGCAGGGGCAGGCGAGGAGGTCACGCTCGGGGCATGGCCCTGTCTCCTTGGCGCCGCGCCCATGCAACCACTCGCGGTCGTTGGATGCAAGCTCACTCCCCCGATCACCTTTGACCCCCATCCGCCGATCACCAGCCATCCGCCATTGGAACTTGGAGCTCCGACTATAAAAGCCCTGGCTCCGGTTGCCCTAGCGCATTCCCGTGCTCGCCGCCACCTTGCGGCCACCCCCCTGCATACCCAAGCCAAGAAAGAGAGCCAAGAGAGGAAGAAGGAAGGGAGAGGGAGAAAGAAGGAGGCGCCGACGAAGCACCTCCGAAGCTGCCGGAGCAAGGACGACGCCACGACGCTGCACGGCACTGCACGGCTTCCGGAGCTACACGGCCTCGAACCACGATTGCATCACCACCCTATCACCTTCGACACCAACGGTGAGCCCCCTCCCGGTCTCTCCCTGCTTGCCGCCGGACCTCACCAAGTCGGCCATGGCACTCCACATCAGGAGCGCGTAGGCCAGGGCCGTCTCCGGCCTCTGGGAACACACGCACCCATGCACACACCCGCGACCACGCCGTGACCAACCCACCGGAGCCCCGTAGTGCACCCGCGTGCCTCGTCGTCGTTACCATGTTGTTGTGGCCGTCGGGGAGCCCCTACCGGCCACCTGGAAACCCTAAGCCCCGCCTTGAGTCCTGGACGCCCTCGCTGCGTCCCCACGGATCCGTAGAAGCTTACACGCTCCACTGGGACGCTTCACCATGGCCATAGCCACCTCACCGGCGCCACCGTCGTGCCCTGAAGATCACCGCGGTGGCCGGCACACCACGGGACCCCGCATGCCATGTGAACCGCACCGATGAAGACGCCGAGGCTCGGTAGAGCTTCCACCCGCATCAATTGCGCACTAGCGCCGCCACGGAGGCTCACCAGCGAGCCCGCCGCCAGCAAGAGCATAGCCGCGGGAGAAATAGGGGAAACTCCCCTCGCTGGCCACCCGCGCATGCACCCGGTGCACATGGACCGCGCCTGAGAGAAGAAGGGTGGACTCGGTCCACCGTAGACCTGTCTGCGGTCCATGGACCAGCGCCTCTTGGTCCACCGTGAGCCACGCTCACGCCCACAGCCGAAGACCACAGCCTAGTGGAGGCCCAAGGTTATGACGTGGCTGCGTCACAGCCTGCCACGTGTCCGGGTTAGCCCGGCCTAGACCGGCCCAACCCGAGCCCACCAAAGCCCGTTTGAGACCCGGCCCATGTTGACCGTTGACCTGTCAACGCTGACCGTTGACCGGTCAACGCTGACCGTTGACCTGGCCCCACATGTCAGCAACACAGAGCCGCTGGACCCACATGTCAGACGGTGACGTCATGCTGACGTCACGCGGGGCTCACACATCACAAGCCGACACGGCCGAGGTGATGTCATGCTGATGTCACGATGACATCCGCTGCTGACGTCAGCTGCCCTGGACCCACACGTCAGTGACCCTAACCCGTTGACCATTGACTCACCATTGACTTGACGTTGACTTTGACTGGACCCACATATCAGTGACCCGAGAGTCCCTGGACCCACCTGTCAGAATTGATGACGTTGTTGACGTCAGCTGGACCCCACCTGTCAGCTCGGAACTGAGATGCTGACATCATGCTGACGACGTCAGCATGCCATGTGGACCAGTCACAGCGTGACACATGTCAGCCCAGGATTAATTCAGCCTTTTTCATTTTTAGAAATGGATTTAATCTTTGAAAATTCATAACTAATTCATGTGACCTCAGAAAAATACGAAACTAGGATCAAAATTCATCTAAAATCAAGCTCTATGCAATGAACCCATGTTTGAGTGCATTTGGCTGTTTTGAATTTTCATTGCATCTTTGTGCTATTCTATAGACGTCGCTAACGCGACTATAACGCGATCGTTTGTAGACTCGGAGGAGAACCGGACGGACGAGGATCGTGAGTACCGTGAGGAGTACGGAGACGACTACACTGAAGGTGCCACATCCCACCCAATCTCGTAGCACCTATTACGCATGGCTAAAATAGAAATGCTAGTGCTTACTTTATTGTCATGATCACTATGGTAGGACTTGCATGGTAGCAAGATTTCTTGATGGCCTTTACCTTGACACAACCTTACCCCTGCTCACCCTGCTGTTAGGCTAGTCACACGCTTGCTACTATATTTCATTGCTTATTACTTCTACTATGCTTGCACTACATTGATGCGTGGTGGAAACTGGTGTTATCTGGACTATGGGGAGAGTGCTGCGTGTGTGACTTGGGTGCGTGGAGGGTGAGGGTTGTGTCGACCAAGTTGGAGTATACGATGAGCCTGGGGCAAGTCTTGCTGTGGGGTGCTACCTGGGCACCCCTGGAATGGATACCTGTGGTGGGTAAATGGTATATGAGGTGGCCCTAGGTATGATCCTGTGATGGGAGGAGCCCAGGGTGGAGGTGCTGTGGTGGCACGGAAAATAGAAACCCTGATGAAGACATTCTGGCTTGGTCATCCCTACGGACTTACTAGTACTCAGATTCACCGAGAAGCCTTACGTACCACTCGCCCTATATGGTGCGGGACGACCGGACTACTTGGTAGGATAATTCCACTACTGCTAGGTTGATAGCGGACAGTGTGAGGGAGGTACGGGGTGCGCAAGCAGACCCAGCTTCTTGCAGCCCTCGTTGACGGAGCAAACCGTCGCCAGGGAGGTCAGCAGAATGACTTTCAAAGGAAGCTGGAGGGATTCCTGAAGCTAAGGCCACCTACCTATGATGGCACCGACCCTGACCCGCTTGTGGCCGATGACTGGCTCAAGGAAATGGAGAAGAAGCTTGATCTCACCACTTTCATCAACGATGAGTGTGTTGGAGTTGCCGCACACCAGCTCATAGGCGCAGCACGCGCCTGGTGGGACAGTTTCAGTGATTCCCATGAGGACCCTGCCAACATCTCATGGGATGAGTTTGCCGAAGCATTCACTGAGTATCACATTCCCAAGGGTATCATGGAGGCCAAAGCCGAGGAGTTCCGCAACATCAAGATGGGAAAGGACAAGGTGACTGAGTATACTACTCATTTCACCAACCTTCTGCGCTATGCACCTTCCTATGTTGTGAACTCTGAGAAGGAGAAGCTGTACTATTACCGCAAGGGACTTAACCCGCATATCAAGCTGAAGTTTGGCGGTATTGAGAGTAACACGTTGCGTGCTCTGGTGGATCGCTGCATCCAGATTGAGAAGGACCATGCTGAAGCTGGAGAAGAGTACAGGGAGAGGAAGCGTAAGCCTGAGGAGTCTTTCTGTGGTCGTGATAGCAAGAGGTTCCGTAGAGATGCACCATCCAGGGAACGCTCACGCCACAACAGGGATGACAACCCTGGATCGAGTAGGGGTAGTGGAGGCTACACCACCAAATACTCCCGCCCTGCTCAGGATCGTTACACCCGCGACCGTTATGCTCAGGACCGCAACACTCAGGACCGTTTCAACCGTTCCCACTCTGTGAATGAATGCC